ATATATATATATATATATATATATATATATATATATATATATATATATATATATATATATATTTTATTATCATAAATGAAAATGACTTTTACTAATTGACTTAGAGTCTAAGATTTTATTTGATTTTTTCATCAAGGCCCCCGTTTGTGTTTGTGTTTGTGTTTGTTACACTTGGGGGACAAAAATTGCAAGTTTTTGTCTTGCCCAAAAGGGTTTCATGATCCCTCACACACTTGTCCTGTCATGTAACAAATGCATCCATCTTTGTGTATGCTTTCTCCTTTTTGTGGATGTAGTTTATAAACTAGGTTTGGAGACAGGAGTATGCTGGGTTTTTTTTAGGAAGTCAATTGACCATACATGCTATCTATGTGTGCATTTTAAGGTTAGTTAATTTGGAATAGATTAGTTTTGAACTCATAACCGATTTTAAAGCATATCCATCCTACAACGGCTTTTCTAGTTCATTACCACCTTGTGTACATGAAATCAGATATTCAAATAGAGGACCATCCGTTCAAGCGATTTGTCTTTGTATTGGTTATGGCCATATATATATATATGTGTGCGTTTATCGACATTTTTTCTTGTAGTTTTTATTTTCACTATGATGGATACATCAATAGGCGATTTAACAATTTCATTAAAAATACCATGATAAACGTCATCTTTTTGTCAATAGGTGAATAATAATTTTGTTCAAAATACCAAGATAAACAAGGATATATGTTTGTTTCATGTATCTATATGTATATACAATCTAAAAGATACATTTGGAGTCGGTCGTATACAGTAGAAGAAGCTAAAAGATTATCTTTGATTCGATGATGGACAACATAATCTCCCCCTTTCGATGCTTTGGCAAGTAATCTTATGTAACATAATTAGTTTATCAATAAAATATGCTTTCTCGGATGCAAAAAGTAGATAACAAAATACAAATTCAACATCAACCAACACCATTAATAATTATTACATATATGCTTTCTTACTTTTAAATTGGTGATCGCCTTCAATTTATCCCGTGTATTGCAAATCGTGCATCTCATCGAACAATCTTTGTGGTAAGAAGGTGAGAAGTTGTCTGCGAGACATGTTCGTGGACCTCATGGTTGACACCTGGCGATGAATAGAAAACCGGCAATGAAGAGGCTTAAATTATTAAAATTTGTGTATTATTACATAGAGAATTCTTAACAAACGTCTTCATATAATTCTAGCAAATACACATGTCAATCGCTAGATCTAAACTACTAATGTTTGCACAATTTATATATCATAAATATGGCGACAAGCTTTTTAATTTTTTCTTAAGAAAAATATGTGTATTTTTGAAAAAAGTCATTCAAAATACCGATGGTATCATGAATTTAAATATTTGTCTAATGTACAAACGTGTAAGTGATACAAAGTCAAAACGTTGGGAGTATATAAATTATTGACATCATTGTGTAAATAAAGCATTTTTATAAATGGCTAACATGATTGTGTACTTAATGTGAAGTTGTAGGGTGAGATGGGGTTCAATCATTTCGTTTTGATACGATCAATGAATGTGGTGCATTTGGCATATCTTGGTTTGGACGAGGTCATGTATATTGTTTCTTTGCGGAGTTGGCTTGGTTGGAAGATGGTGCGTTTGTTTTTCTTTCTATTTTAGGAGTCGATTTTCCGTCAACATCTTTTCTATTACACTCGTAACAAAGTAACTTTGTCGAAGAAATAGGTATGGCTTATGATAGCTCTTTTTAAACCATGCGCACAAAATGGGCTATGAACTTATTGATTTTGGTTTATGCTAAAAAACTTTGAGCTTTTTAGAATTGAAACTTAATGAATTATCAATATGTGCTTGATTAAAATGTTGTAGGAGAAGTAAATGTGTTATTCAGCTAGCTCATACCCTCGAGGGGCATTATCTAAGATGTAAGTTACGTACACATATATGTTAAACTCGCTAGCATAAAAGGCGATTATACATACATTAATACAACACACACATGTATATATGTATGATGGCTGATGACTTTCTAATGTATATCAAAACAACACAATTTATTGAAATTATATAACAAATGATATTTGTCTTCTTTTCATTCACAAATCTAAATTCAAAATTTTGCATCTATATAGAACAGAACCAGAGATAAATCTCATAAAACATTGGCTTTTAACGGTAATTGTCTTGATATTATTTATTAAATTAAAAATCATCGTACGAGTGACATGACAAATGAGCAACAAGCTTATGAGGTAGCCTCTACTTCCGAGTATAAACCCCAACCACCAAACCTAATGGGTAAGGAAACAATTCGCCACTGTATGTCACCAAAGAAAAGGCCACCACAGACCACAATGTCCTCAATCGCCTCACGCAACCCATTGTCAAAGAATATTGCCGCCTCCTCCATGTGAACGGGTTGGCACGTCCTCAACCCAAAGAAAAG